ACCAACATCACTCTAATTACTACAACCTCTTGTTAAATGCACTTATTTGTTTCATGCTAGTCTAAGGGAAATACATCTCCGCGACGGTGGTGTTCGGATGTCCAATCTCGTCAACGTGTGGTCCGGAGGAGATCTGATGGGTACTTCCGGTTCCGTCCGCATGTAAGTAACTACGGGAATTTCACCGACGGTGGTAGATTTGAGCAGTCAATCTTCACTTGATGAGCAAAAATGCACAGTTGATGCCATGTGCGATGAGGTCTAAACAGGAGACTGCTCATTGGAGCCCAATTCCAAGGAGGTTACGAACAGGTGAGCCCGGCTTAGTTAACTTGTCTGCAGAGTCATGTCACGCTTCTGAACCCCTGCCGTGAGGCTTAATTAGAGAGATGGGTCATTGTATTACAACTTTTACAGCCCATTTCCGCCCAGCTAAAAGCTGGTCAGAACTTTTCACACCTACCACCACCACGCCTCTCATCTTGGCGATGATGCAATGGCCTTTCTGCTATATATATAGATTAGTTTAACAAAGATACCTCAACAACTGGCACGTGCGTTCTAACTCGTCGAGTCCACGGTCGAATCAATACAATTGACACTGCAAGAGGACTGTGTCTCTACAATGGAAACCAGTACACCTTCCAGTGCGTTCTGTTGATGACTCGCAGACCAACTCCTAGCACACAAAAAGGGGTGTTTCAGTGTCCAATTGGCCGCAATCGTGGTGCTTTCCTCCCGCATTAAAGCGCATTGGCTGCTGCCCACGGGGGTCATTTCTCCCTGTTTCCCTTCTACGGGCTGTTCTTTCCAGCCTGTGCCCCCAGCCTGTGCCCCCAGCCTGTGCCCCTAGCAATGCACCCTAGGGGAGGATAAATTTAACTCTGGCAACACGGTTGAAATTTCCACGGGCACGGGACGAAAAAAGCAGGGAGCAACGAACAAAGTCATAGAAGTTGTCAACTGCTCAGCCTTTTTCAGAAAAGCGTGTGTGCTTGAAGTTTGAAACTGCGACTTATATAAAGGATTAGCTCATCATTTTCCTCGGCCACCGTTGTACTGCTCTGTCATTTTTGGTTTACTTAGAGAAGCCAATACATTTATCCAGGCAGTAGGCATAGCTATGAAGTTATCGAGTATTATTGCTGGTTGTGCAGGTGCATCTGTTGCGCTTGGCCAGGTCCACGTGAGCTTCGACATTCTTAGGGGAAGAGACTTCAACAGTGCTCAGAAGAGGTCATTTGGCAAAAGAGACGGTGGTATAGTGAGAGCCAACATTGAAGATGAGCAAGTGTTCTACGCTGCGAACATCACAATTTCCGGCGCTGAGTACAGTGTGCTGCTGGATACCGGCTCCAGTGATTTGTGGGTCTACGGTTCTACGAACCCGTACTGTTCGTCCAATAGTGGTTACAGCTCCAGTTCCGGGTCTGGTGGGTCAAGTAAAGAGAGGCTATTTGGTGCTCCAAAGCAGTTGATTGATGAGAGATTACACGGTGTTGACCCTGCTGATTTCAAAGAGCGAATTGAAGGTATCACACCTGATGATCTGAAGGAGAGACTACATGGTGTTAATCCCGATGATTTCAAGGAGAGACTGCACGATCCTTCTCCTGAGTTCATTGGAAAGGAGAGACTTCATGATGTGTCACCGGAAGATTTCAAAGAGAGAATCTTTGATACCGATCCAGAATTCATCGGCAAGGAGAGGCTCCTCGGTATTAAACCCGAGGACTTTGACTTGACTGGTTCTCCAACTCTGGAAAAGAGAGCCTTCTCAACCTCTGTTCCACGTTCCCAGGCAACTATTGACTGTCAATCTTATGGTGTCTTTGACACTGAAACTCAACAGTGGAGCACAGATGATCAACTGTTTTTGATTCAGTACGGTGATTTGACCTATGCCATTGGCTATTACGGCACTTCTGTCGTTTCATTTGGTAATGCTACGCTGGATGGATTTACATTTGCCGTTGCAAACACCTCGAACTCGAGTGTTCCAGTGTTTGGTATTGGATTTGAGGGCAATGAGGCTTCAACAAGTTCATTCATGAAAGGTTACGGTGGTCCATTCCAATATCAAAACTACCCTTCAGCTCTGAAGCAAGCTGGTCTCATAGAAACAACCTTGTATTCCATGTGGATGAACTCTGAAACCGCAGAAGGTGTTACTCTCTTTGGTGGTATCGATCATTCAAGATACTCCGGTGACTTGGCTACAATCCCATTATTGAACTACTACAAGAGCCAAGGAGTAGCTCAGCCAATTACCTTTGACGTTAGCCTTAACAACCTTTCTCTCTCTGATGGTGAAACTGATGTTAGTGTGCTCTCTGATTCTCAGAGTTGTCTTTTGGATTCAGGTACTTCTTTCACCTACCTCCCACAGAGTGCCGTCAGTAACATTGCCGACGCTCTTGGTGCAACGTATTACAGCAGCATTGGATATTATGTCATGAACTGTCCAACTTCGAGTAGCGGTGTCAATTTCACTTTCTCCTTCGACTCCATTGACATCCAAATCCCACTGGAGGAATTCCTGGTTGCAGTCGATAGTTCTAACCAAAACTGTGCAATTGTTACATCTGGATCTAGCCGTTGTATTCTTGGTGACACTTTCCTCAGAAGCGTTTATGTTGTCTACGATTTGGATGGTCTTCAAGTCCAAATGGCTCCAGTTAATTTGGATAACAGTGACGATGACGTTGAAATCATCGGCTCTGCTGGTCCAACTGAGAGCGATGGCGCAACTCGTACTACAAAATTAACAATGACAGTGGCTGGATCTGTATCAGCTGTTGATTCACAACAGGTCACCAGCGAAGCCCAAGGGATTCAAAGTTCTGACGGAATTTCTGATTCCACCAACTCCGCCCAATCCGGTTCTTCTACTAGAAGATCTTCCGCAAGTGTCTCCTCTGCGTCATCAGGATCTGCAACTTCAGGTTCCTCTGCAACAGCTTCAAGTTCTGCCGCAACGACCTCTTCTAATATGGCTGGTCAGATTTCTTTCTTGTCATTATCTGGACTTGCTACTCTTGTCTTCATGATTCTTTGATCACAGGATGATCTTTCACTTGAACTGTCAAAAATTTCCAATGATATAGTGTACTTAGACAAATTCCTAATCCATTTGATCCTTTAATCTCTTTTTCATTATAGCACGGTGAAGTATACAACTGTTGATGTTACCATGTAATTTTAAGCAGCAGTCACTAGTTTCCTCCCCAGTGATGTCCATTTTCAATAGAAGGGCACTCAAGTGGACCACAATGGATATAATAACTACAACATCTCAGTTCTGGATCTTTTGTCGCACTGTGTTTCAAGTACCTAATGTAATAAGCTGCAATCAAATAGAAGTGAATTGAAACATGCTGTGTTGATCGTACTGTTCCTGAAGTGCTGATTTTGAACCTGGAGCCCGGGAAAGGTATGCCTATTACACTCTCATGATTATGTTTGGAAGAGTATAGGGTGAGAATAACACCGATACCGACACTTGTCCAAGAAACACATTGACTAGATTGATAAGACCGAGACAAGACCATCAAAATCACATAAAGATGTAGGTATCAGGTACGAATACGTCTCATTGACAACATTCATGGACATAGATGCAACTCTACGTAGACTTCTGTTATAATTCTGCTTTACACTTGGAGCAGTATTGTGCGTTACAAAGTCTAAACCTTTACTGAGAAGACAGGTTTAAGTGCAGAATCAGTATCTTGTATTCAGAATTGATCCTTTTAATTAAGATCAAGCATAATGTTCAACTGCTAATATGATCAATTAGACCAATAGACAGCATTAAGAGTGGGAATATTGATCTGCGGCACCACATGTTTTAACCATCTATACCGCTTGGGAATCTCAAAACTCAGCATGTAAAGCAGATTTCAAGGTTTATTTGTAGTTTAAATCAGCCACTAAGAAGTGGGACAGGACTTGCTGCATAGCCTCCTACTATATGCACTCAAACTATTACTGCTCTACAAGTATGGGTGTGTATTTGTCCAGCTTTTGGTTGATACGACAAGCCATCCATGTGGAAGACTACGACCTTTATTTATTTTCTCATTTATAGGTTGCATGCAAACGCACAACCTTAACACTGGCGTACATGATAATAAACTCTAATAGGCGAATAGATGAGACTCAGATGTTACTCACAGCTACATTTTCGGAAATTGCAGTCCCGTTATCAGGGTCATGATCTGTTTCTCACGGCCTACTAACGTTATAATCCATGGAAGCTAGCATTGCATCATTTGTAGGTTCACTTCCTTTGTGGTTTTGGTAAGTGCTATGCAAAATACATGCACAGTGCTTGATTTTAGATAGAATACTATTGGTGAATATTGGTTTGAACATCGAAGCTCCCTATAAACATCTGTAAATGATATACGTGTTAGCTTTCGTGAATAAGATAGGCTTGTTATTGAATATTCCACAACTCTTCGCTTATGTATTAACACCATAGATACAACGTTCTTTTACTT